AATAAGAGGTCATTAATAGGATGATAATATTAATATGTAAATATGTATCATAGGTGCAGGAAAAGAGAGATTTTCTAGTCATACGGAAAATGTGAGCTATGCGAAGAATATATAAAGTAGACTTGTCATCACATAGATAAAGAGGGCGGCTAAGACTCTAGGAGAGAAGGAGTCGTCCAATAGACTAGCTATTTATATAAAACGAAGAGGAGTAAGGAACTCATCTATATTATTGGGAATGAGATCTAATATCTCATGTTATAAAAGAGAAGGACCACTTCTCAAATAGGCAATAGGATGAGTCCTTCTATTTAATATGTGAGAAAAGTTATTCTATACATTAGGCGTTTCTCTTCTATAGAATACATGAAAATAGTTTTTCAATAGAATAGAACAGTAAGAGTTCTTAAAAATTGCTGAGAGATATCTTCCATCGAAGCTGAAAGATGAGTTTTTTAGAATAAAAATGGAGGAATGTATACCCTCTAGAATTTACAACCAACGTTTCTTAATCCTCTAGAAGACATTATCATAGATTTATAGAAGATCTAAAAACGGATTTATTCTGTAGTGAAGATAAAAAGGATATTTTCTCAATAGAAGCTTTGAGAGGGATGTCTCTCTCCACACGACCTCAAGGTGGTGATATCATGGCTGTATATGTGAGATATGCGAAGAAGATATAGAGAAGTCTTATCTTCACATAGATAAAAGAGGACGGCTCTACTGAGGACTTAAGAAGGAAGTTACGCCATAGAATAAAACTCTAATGTATATTTCTCGTATGAACTGGGATAAAGCCAATCGGTGAAGAACTTCCTTATCTTTTAACTTAATCTGTGTGGTCAAAAATAGGCGATTTTCCAAAAAAAAAAAATTTCAAATTTCCGCCATTTGGTTAATTGTTGTTCGAAGCCAATAATCCTAGTTCATACGAGAGCCAGACATGTACTCTTTCTAACACCGTTGGAATTTTCGGATTCCGGTGTTCCACTGAGGAGTTATCATGCCCGCCATCAAAAATAAGGATTTTGCTTTGATCTCAAAAAACAACAACAACAATTTTTTGTAAATAATTTTTCTTCCTGTGTAGGTTCCCTTAAAAAGGAAAAAAATGTGAAGTCAATCTATTTCATAGAACTGAAGGTGATTTTGTATAGAATAAACGATGTACCCTCAAATAGAATATAAGAGGAAATCCGTTCTATAGAGTAGCAGAGGGGAGCTATAGGGGGAAGAGGATGAACACTTGAACAAAATATGAGAAGAGAAGAAATACCAAAAAAACACCTTCGGCACATTATAGACATGACATTCTGCAATAGAATAGCAGAGGAACGATCTTCTATAGAATAAAGCATTGGTGCTATAGAAGAAATAAAGAGGAGAGAGTAAAATGGGAGATGATTACTCATCTGCTGAAAGGAAGATAAGTTCTCTCTCGTAGTACAGAAGATAACTTATCTATAGAATAGACGAGGAGGAGTTCTTATATAGAATATAATAGGAGGTTTTCGTTTGTAGAATAAAAGAGAAGGAGCTCTTTTGCGTAATGGTAGAAACAAATCTTCTATATACTAAATAACCAGTGAGCGGAGCAGTATAGTCGGACGGGGCCGACCATATGGTACCATACACAACTTTCACGAAAATCTATATCTTTCTGTGGCAATATTTCGCGATTTTTCACACTCAACCAATATTACTAATATTCAGTACAAACCTTAAATTCTCGGTCCAGTTCATCCCAAAATTATTATCTGATCATCACCGAAAATTATAGGCGTTGTCCTTGACCATACATGGATCCTCATGGAAAATTTCAAAGCGATCAGCGCTAAATTTCCGACCTCTAGTGAGGTAATGGGTTACTAAATAATATACGTATACGTAATCACCTATAAATATTTAAGTGTAACTCCCACATCCGAGTTCATACAACAATATAATTGGTATCAATTTAAAGGTCAACCACTCCTCTTGGATATACTATCAACTTCTCGGATCTATGTCCTTCGGGTCCTACACAACTATATTGTCAGGGTATTATAGCTTTGTGCAGCCTCAAGAGTTTGTAACGCCGTGAAATATTGGTCCTAGACCCACCTTTAAGTATACCTATTGTCATATCTCGTCTAGCTGAGTCGATCTAGACATGTGTGTCCGTCCGTCTGTCCATTATAATTTGTAAACGTGATACAGGCCACAGTTTTGGACCAATCTTCACGAAATTTTGCATGTAGGATGGGTTCTGGCCAATGAAGACCCCTATTGTTTTTGGCAAAGATCGGTTAATATTTAGGGGATGAAATGGACCATCGAACGTCTGTTTTTCTGAACGCTACAGAGGCCGCAATTATGGCCCAAACATCGCGAATTTTTACATGGAGAAGGGGATCGGGTTTTGATAAAGATCGGTCAATATTTAGTGGGTCAAATGGACCCTGGCTTTTGTGTGAAAAATTACAAAATTTGTATTCTATGGCGTATATATTTACACCTGAATGACATAGACCCGAGAAGTTGATAGTATATACAAGAACGTTATTTTCTCAATAGAAGCATTGAGTAAGGATTTCTCTCTGCAAATGACCTTCAAAACGACCTGGTGTTCTCTCTGAGCAGGATCTAAATGAGATCATCCCTGTATCGAAGGTCTTTAAGAAAGATCGGAAGAAGATCTCCTCTCTTCTTCTAAAGAATACCTGAATATTATTTATTATAGAAGATTTCTATGATTTTCTATACTCTGCATAGAAGACATAATGATGAAGTTTTTATTTATTTTTAAATACCTAAAGAATATATTTTCTCTAAGAAAGACTAGGAAAAAATCTCGCTCTTTTGAATACTTCTTCTAATGGGGATCTGTAAAAGGACTTCTCGCTTGAGAAAATTCCGTGAAGGCCTGAATAAGGTATTGTCTGTACAATATAGAAAATGTTTGGAAAAGTTTTTTCTTTATCTATAGAAGGGTTGAAAATGGTATTTTTCATCGTTAAAACTAAAATCGATAGTAAAAACCAGTAAGGAAAGTAGTAAAGTCGGACTGGGACGACTATACGATACCCTTCACCACTTTGGGTATATTTTACATATGTATCCTAACAGACGACGCGTTTTGTTAAAGATCTATATATGAACCGATTTCAGGGAACTTGCCAGAGACTAATTTATATAACATCAGTACGTTGTGTCAATCGGTCTAGCTATGTATCATTTCACGAAGCTTAGCAACTTAATTTTAGACTTAATTCAGTACCTTATACAAAAATTCGTGTAAATCGAAAGATATATAGGGTATTCGGATGAAAATACATATGGTAGCTATATCTAAATTTGAATCGATTTTCACGAAACTTGGCAGACATCATTCTCGATCTTATTCATAACTCTGTGCCAAATTTCGTGCACATCAAAAGATTTTCAGGGAATTTAGTGGACTATTTACCTAAAATCGGGCGAAGCTATATATGGGAGCTATATCTAAATCTGAACCGATTTTCACGAAACTTTGCACACATCATTCTATACTTAATTTAGTACGCTGTGCCAAATTTCGTGCAAATCTAAAGATATATAGGGACTTTGGTACACAATTAACCTTAAATCGGACGAATATATATATATATATATATGTATATGGGAGCTACATCTAAATCTGAACCGATTTTCACGAAACTTGGCAAACATTATTCTAGACCTTATTCATTACGCTGTGCCACATTACGTGCAAGTCAAAAGATTTCCAAGGACTTTAGTGGACTATTTACCTAAAAGCGGGCGAAGCTATGTATGGGAGCTATATCTACACATTTCATCAAAACACATTGCACACATCATTCGTGACTTTATTCATTACGCTGTACCAAATTTCGTGCACATCGAAAGATATATAAGGACTTTGGTGCACCATTTACCTTAAATCGGACGAAAATATATATAGGAGCTATATCTAAATCTGAACCGATTTTTCCCAATTTCAATAGGGTTCGTCCTTGGGCCAAACAAATGAGCTGTGCCAAATTTCATCCAATTCGGATCATAAATGCGACCTGTACTTTGTTTACAATTTAACATGGACAGACAGACGGACGGACGGACATGCATAAATCGACTTAGAAAGTGATTCTATGCATATTCTCAAAAGGAACCATGGGTCTATCTCGATTATTTGTGCCTGTTACAAACATATGCACAAATACATAATACCCTGTACAACAGTATGGTGAAGGGTATAAAGAGTAGTAGTTTTTCTGAACTTGTCTTCTCATGGATAATGTTCTCTCTAGAAGAGAACATGAATTATGTCTTCCCTCTAATGAAGACCTAAATATCACCATGACTTATAAATATAACTGAGAGATAAGAGGCTTCTTACCTACAGAAGTCCAAAAAATAATTGGATAACTTACAGGTTTTCTATAAATCGATCTCGATTCAATTATCCCCCTTTATTGAATACCTTGGAAATGTATTTTTTCGATAGAAGACTTGAAGAAGACCATATATTTGTAAGACAAATTTAGAACATATGCTTTATAGGCAATCTATAGAATACATATAGCAGATTTATTCTGTCTCTGAAATATAGGTTAGCAGTTTTTTGCCTATGGAGGAATTTCAAACTTTACAAATGAGTTTCTGTCGATATATGATATGTTGGAAAATTTCTCATTTCCTGTCACAGAACCCCTGAAGGTGGTACTCTGTTGCATTCCCATAAAACCCTAAAAAATACAACTTGTAGAAGATATCCTATCTTAAGCTGACCTTTAGAGGTTATTTTGTGTGTAGAAATACAGTGGAAGACCTCTCTTGTCAAATTTTATCATTCCTCTTCGACATTTTCCCTAACTTCTTAAATTGATCCTCGTCCATGTTATTACATATTTAATATTCCTTATTGCAAAGTTCCAACCATAAATTTTTCTTTCCCGTGCCATATACACTTGTAAATGAATTCAATTTCCCGCCTTCTCCAAAACTGCCATACTTACTTGGAGCAATGTTTCGCTCATTGATGTCCGCTAAATCGACCAGATAGGCACCAATTTTCAAACCACGTACACAGCCGATGTAACCCTGCAATGTGGGTGCATCCAAATTGGTGCGCAACAAATTCACCGGATCATAACCGCCAATGTTCAGTTGGAAATATTCTGTGGGTGGTGCTGGGGGACGATGGGGCGATAGGACCTCTGGAAAAGAAAAACAAAAACAAAATGTAAAATAAACTTGGGTAGACACACATACATACACACACACACAATAATGAATAAACGAAATTGCAACAAAACGACAAAATTAACAAAACGGCATTCAATTTATGCCGAATCATTGAAACAATATCCACGTTTGAATGTGAAGTGAAATGAAATGAATCGATTCGATTCGCCTATCGCATCGCAACGAATGCAATGGCATGGAATGTGACAAAAGGAGGCATATTGAAATTATCGCCATATTTAGAGGATGTGAATGGATGTGCATTGCGTTCGGCATCCTCTTTTTAAATATCGACGACAGGACCACTCTGCCCGTATTCATTCAAGTATAAATTATGACTGGAGGGTATCAATGCTTATTTCCGCCAAACATTATGCTGATGTGGTCAGAACGTGATTGTAATGGTGTTTGTTGATGGCGTTCGGACTAACAATTTTGCACGATGGTCTAAGTTTTATACACGTTCCGGATATTGGTTTAGTTTGGTAACATATGCACCAACGTGTTGTGGTTAATAGAATGGGTGATAAAAAAGCTGTTAGATGGGGTTTTATTTGAAAAACAAAAATTGAGATATTTTTGTTCGGGATGAAGAAGTGATATACAGTGCCCTAAGTAAACTGAGGCCTAATTTTTTCCATAGCAAAAACATTGCTCTCATTTAACTGTTCGATTTAAAAAGACAAAACTGCCGTCAGAGAACTGGGACGTAATTAAAAAAACGTTCCCAATATACAAACGAAAAATGACCAACATAAATGTGGATTTCAAAAATATTTTTTTCCATGGTCCATCATAGAAGTGGTTTAAAAAATTATTTTTTTTCAAAGCCTCTCATAGGCGTGGATCTAAAATTTTTTTTCAAGATCCATAATAGGTGTGGATTTAAAAAAAATCCAATGCCCATAATTTGTGGATTTTTAAAATAATTTTGTTGGATTAAAAAAAAATTGTTTCAAGATCCACAATGGACGTAGATTAACACAAAATCTTTTTCCAAGCCCCATAATTTATAGATTTTTTTAAATATAGTCTATAAAGGCCTATTATAGACGTAGATTTTTATAGTAATTTCTTTCATTGCAATCATAGGCGTGGATTTTAAAAAAATTTTGTAAGACCAATCATAGACGTGGGTTAAAATTTTTTTTTTAAGGCCCATCATGGCCCAATATAGGCGTCGATTTTTAAAGTTATTTCATAGGCTTAGATTTTTAAAATTATTTTTTCAAGGCCCATCATAGACACGGACTTACATTTTTTTCAATGTCCATCATAGAAGTTGATTTTTCTATAATTTTTGTTTCATGGTTTAACATGTTTGCTTTGATTTTTATACCCTTCACCACACTGTGGTACCGGGTATTATGTCTTTGTGCATATGTTTGTAACAGGTAAAAGGAAACGAGATAGACACATGGTTGATTTTGAGAATATGCATAGAATCACTTTTTAAGTCGATTTATGTATGTCCGTCTGTCTGTCCATGTTAAATTGTAAACAAAGTACAGGTCGCATTTATGATTCGAATTGGATGAGATTTGGCACAGGTCACTTATTTGGTCCAAGGACGAACCCTATTGAAATTGGGAGAAATCGGTTCAGATTTAGATATAGCTCCCATATATATTTTCGTCCGATTTTAGGTAAATAGTGAACCAAAGTCCCTATATATCCTTCGATTTGCCCGAAATTTGGCACAGCGTACCGAATTAAGCGTAGAACTATGTGTCTAAAATTTCGTGAAAATCGGTTCTGATTTAGATATAGCTCCCATATATATTTTCGTCCGAATTTAGGTAAATGGTGCACCAAGGTCCCTATATATCTTTCGATTTGCACGAAATTTGGCACAGCGTACTGAATTAGGTCCAGAATGATGTGTGCTGAGTTTAGTGAAAATCGGTTCAGATTTAAATATAGCTCCCATATATATGTTCGTCCGATTTAAGGTGAATGGTGCTCCAAGGTGTCTATATATCTTTCGATTTGCACGAAATTTGGCATAGGGTACTGAATTGGGTCCAGAATGATGTGTGTAAATTTTCCTGAAAATCGGTTCAGATTTAGATATAGCTGCCATATATATTTTTTGTCCCAACCTGCATCGATTTTATGGTAAATGGTGCACCAAAGTCCCTATATATCTTTCGATTTGCATGAAATTTGGCATGGCGTAATGAATTAGGTCTAGAATGATGTGTGCTGAGTTTCGTGAAAATCGGTTCAGATTTAGATATAGCTCCCATATATATGTTCGTCCGATTTTAGGTAAATGGTGCACCAAGGTCCCTATACATCTTTCGATTTGGACGAAGTTTGGCACAGTGTAATGAATTAGGTCTAGAATGATGTGTGTTAAGTTTCCTGAAAATCGGTTCAGATTTAGATATAGATCCCATATATATTTTCGTCCGATTTAATGAAAATGGGGACTAAAGTCCTTATATATCTTTCGATGTGCACAATATTGGGCATGGCGTGCTGAATTACGTATGGAATGATGTTTGCTTAGTTGGAAATCGGTTCAGATTTTGATATAGCTCCTATATATTCTTTCTTCCTATTTTATAACAATTCTGTACAATGAGCTGTAGTTAATATAAATTAATCTCTGGCAAGGCTCGTTGAAATCGGTTCAGTTTTAGATATAGTTGCTTTAAATTAATTTACATAATTTTGTCCCATTGTATAGAGCCACTGTATATTTGACCAAATGATAAATTTAGTATAGGTTGCAGAATGACATGTTTATTGATCCAATTTCATTTTACTGGTCCTTGAAAAATGTAACGTCTTTTAGAATTCATCTGTTAAATGTACCCAAAGTGGTGAAGGGTATCATATAGTCGGCCCCGTCCGACTTTACTACTTTCCTTACTGGTTTTTCTAAAAACAAAATGCCCTCAGTGGAATGAGTTTTTTTCTATTTTATAGAACAAATCCGTGACTTCATTTATTATATCCTTAATTGTATTAACCCACACTAATACACCAACGGATTGGCTTTAACATCCGATTCCAGCTATAACTAAAGTCATACATTATAATTGTGGTCATTTACCTGTCAATGATTGTTAGCTGGACCATAGTAGTTTTAGTGGTTGTATTGGGTGTGGTACACCTAAATGACTATGGTTGTAAATTAATACACATATGTTTGTGTGTGAAGCCACACACACACACACACATACATACAGACGCACGCAAGTCTTCATAGCATAGCATATGTAAGGATAATTGCAAGTATGATTTGTTGTTGGCTTAATTAAAATTGCCAACATTACACACACACACACACTCACATTATATAACTTTTGGTTAAGGCCATTCCGTTCGAAATTGAAAGATGTTCGTTTGTGTAGTGGGAGATCCTAACGAATAACTACATGGCAAAGGAATTTATTACTGACTGTTGTTGTTGTTGTTGGTTCTGTTACAATTAGTAGATATATTGCTGCTTTTCAATTTGGTGTTGGTCATTAGCAATTGCCAAAAATGTTTGACAATTAAATGTGGCGTCTTTTTAGCGGTTAATTAAATTGTATTAGAAAAGTCTTTTGAGGTGTGATTGTGAGGTTATTTGTATCGCGTTACCGTGGAAATAACTACTAAAACCTTGTGTGTGTGTGTAATGTTGGCAATTGTAATTGGGCCAACAACAAATGATAATTGCAATTATCCTTGCATATTCTTGCATACCGATTTTCGGGAAACTTAACACACATCATTATATACCTAATTCATTACGCTAGGCCGAAAATTCGTGCAAATCGAAGGATAATTAGGGGCTTTGGTGGACCATTTACATAAAATCGGACGAAAATATATATGGGAGCTCTATCTAAATCTGAACCGATTTTCAGGAAACTTAACACACATCATTTTATACCTAGTTCATTACGCTAGGCCAAATTTCTTGCAAATCAAATGATATTTAAATCGTACGAAAGTATATATGGGAGCTATATCTAAATCTGAACCGATTTAGAGATAGCAAAGTATAGGTCGCATTTATAATCCGAATTGGATGAATTTTGCCACATGTCAACTATTTGGCCCAAGGGCCAGCCCTATTGAAATTGGGAAAAATCGTTTCAGATTTATATATAGCGCTCATATATATAGTTTCGTCCGATTTTATGTAAATGGTGCACCAAACTCCCAATACTGACCCGATTGAGACAAAATTTTGCACAGCGTATTGAAGTAGGTCCAGATTGATGTATGCGATGTTTAGTTGGAATCGGTTCAGATTTAGATGTAGCTGTTATATATATTTTGGTCCGATTTAATGTAGATGGTACACCAAAGTCCCTATATCTCTTTTGATTTGCACGAAAATTGGCACGTCGTACTGAATTAGGTGTAGACTACTGTGTGTTGAGTTTCGTGAAAATCGGGCCAGATTTAGCTATAGCTCCCATACATATTTTCGTCCGATTTTAGGTCAATGGAGCACCAAAGTCCCTATATATCTTTCGATTTGCACGAAATTTGGCATAGTGTACTGAATTGAGTCTTGAATGATGTGTGCTAAGTTTCATGAAATTCGCTTCAGATTTAGATATAGCTCCCATATATATTTTCATTCGATTTAATGTAATGGTCCAGCAACGTATCTATATATCTTTCGAATTGTACGAAATTTGGAATATCATACTAAATTGAGTCCAGAATGACATGTGCTATGTTCCTTGAAAATTGGTCCGTATTCAGATATAGCTCCCATATATTTTCATCCGATTTGATGTAAAGGGTGCAGCAAAGAACCTATATATCTTTTCATTTGCACGAAATTTTCCATAGCTTACTGAATTGAGTCTAGAATGATTGTTAGTCGGTTTACTTATAGATAAAGATGACATATTTAAGTTCGTTCAATTTCAGGTCAATGTTCCTTCCAAAAGGCTACGTCTGTTAGGATACATATGTAGAATATATCCAAATTGATAAAGGGTATCATATAGTCGGCCCAGTTCGACTTTACTACTTTTCTTACTGTTTTTTTTAAAGCCAAGCATATTAAGAAAAAAACAATTTTTCATTCTTCAAAAAACCACAATGCCAAATTATAACCTATTTCTTCGGAATATGGATAAAAAACCCAATTACCCAATTTTAATTTACAGTCAGTTGGTGCCCAAACTCCTAAAATACCGAAATTTGTGGTCTGCCGTATAAAGTGGACCAGTATTGATAATGTTTGGTAGGCATTTAATACATCTACCTACCAAAAATTATCAAAACTGAGTACCCAAAGTACCAACATACAGTCAGTTCGGTGGAGAAACGTGTTCAACCTCCCCAAAATACCGAAATTTGGGAGATACAGTTATATAATATAAAATAATAATAATCCTTCCTACCAAAAATTGTCTCTGAAAATATGCAAATTGACTTACATTACAAATTAGAGGCTATTAGCATAATGCAATATCTAGTTTTTTTAGTACGTTTTTCAAATACCCAGCATCATTGTACGCCCACACACACATAATACAAATTTTACAATTTCTATTTCCATTCATTTTCATCAATGCCAGTTTCAAATCAATTTCATTTCACTAATAAATATTTATTCAGTGATACTTATCTTCAAAACAATTACACACGCACACACAGTCACTAACACAAATATACTTTTTCTTCTTCTTCTTCTTGCACACTTACCCATTTCAGGATTTTTCCACGGTTTATTTGAATATTCGTCTAATAGTTGGGTACCCTTCTCAATCACCACACTCTTTCCGTTCACATGCATCTCTGTGTGTTCCGGCTGTCGTACAATTGCCACTTGAATGCTCTTCAACGTACTCACGCTCTCGTCGACTATCGTCAAATTAACAATTTCATCGCCGTAATTATAGAGGAAGACAATCTCTCGTCCGCCCGTTATGAACAAGTGGACGAAATTATTATAATGATCGTTGGCGTACAGGACCATCGAGTTGGTGTCGTAAGTGCGTAAATTAATGAGTATGTCCTTGTTCAAGACACCTTTAAGCATTTCCCGTTCCTCGTCAACGAAACCGACTTGGGCGTCGGTGGGCTGGGCGGTGGCACTTAAGTAGTTGCGCATCAAGAACGATTCGCGGTTAATGAATGTAAGTGCCTTTTCATTAATATCTGAGTGATGGCAGCGATGGAGATGAAGACGCGTGTAGCGGCGGGAGGAAACGCGTAAGAAAGTGTTAAGAAATAATTATAAGTAATTGTACAAATCGAAGTGCGGCCAAGTGGCAATCACAGCGTGTGAGATTGTCACCAAACCGTTGATTGCCGGCCGGCCAGTCAACCAACCAGCTAACCAGCACAGCTATACTTACTGGTTTCACAGAACTCTCCGATGTGTGCCCAAGTGTTGTTGCACACACACTTAAATGTACTCCACAGCTCCTTGCATTCGGCTCCGTTTTTACAAGGATTTGGCACACAGGATGGTTTGCAATCTTTGATAATTTCCGACAAGTGCACCGACATGTAACTGTAAATGTCCAAGATTTCGCCGTTGACAACGAGGCCACGGAAACAGCCAATTAGACCGGCCTTGACGGATAGTTTTTTCAAGAGGTCACTGGAAAAAAAAAAAACGTGAAGGGAGTGAAATTTATGACAAATTGAGAAAAATTTGTTTCTATTATTTTAAGTTTTATGGGATGATTTTCAACACCTAACGAATAATTCTTTCAATGACTAACACAATCATGGATTGTTTAAAGAATATTTTTCCAAAGATTTTCACAAGGTTGGATTTTCGAAGAATATTTTTTAAAAGGACTATCACAAGCGTTGAAGGGATGTACCAAACTCATCTCAAGTCTGGAGATAGGATCAATTCTGCTACCTCTCCTATAGAACATTTGTAAAACGTATTTGAAGCGAATTGACTATAAGATTGAATCCACATTTGGCATAGTTGATTTTCGCACTAAACATTAACAACATTCAAAAGTCAGTATTTTAAAGTAAAAATTCTTCTCCTTTATCGCATTTACTCTTCTATCGAATTTCATTTACATATTCATCTCCATCCTTTAAGTAAATTCGTGTGAAATTCAATTCAATCAATTAAATGCCACATTAACTATTCTCCGAAAGCAACAAAACAACAAGAACAATAGTAACAGCAACAAAAACAAAGACGATAACTGCTGCTGCTACAACCAACACTTCATTCAGTACCAACGACAACAACAACAACAACAATAACAACAGCAGCAGTTGTACTTTATTTTTCGTTTTCCAAATTCAAATTGATGTCAACACTTTTCATTCATGGTTCGATGGGGGGTTAGGTTCTCTATTAGCACGTTCGCGTTGTTAGGCCAGGTGAAGGTACGCGATAGTGTTGGTTTTAGTGGTGCTGCTGTTGGTAGTGTGTGCGGTAAATTTGTGGTACATTCGTTCATTTTGTGGGTTACTCATTCGTCATGCAATGATGCATGCACATGCATGCATGCATTCATTCTGTCAGTCATTCGCTCGCTCGTTTCAACCATCAGTCGTCGCTGACGATGTTACCAACATCCTATTAAGTCATTAGCATAGCGCATACATCATTCACATCCTTCATTTTCAATACAACTTTGAAGAGTGTTTAGACCAAAGTGGATGTTTGATGCGCGTATGTGTGGGTGAGTGTTCATACATACATATTTTTGGGGAGCGGTTTTTTATTTGAACAATAAATGTTCGTTATATATAGGTACAATTGTGAATAATTTATTATCAGTTGTGTTGAACTTTTATTCCACACGAAGTATAATAGAAGGTTATAATAAACAGCTATAATTTAAAAAAAAGGATTATTCAAAAAATCCACGCCTAGGGCTGTGATAGTAAAAAAAACAAGTGAAAAAGCGTTAAGTTCGGCCGGCCGAACTTTGGATATCCTCCTCCTGCGGCTATAGTTCATTATCGAACTTTACGTTCTAATTTTTTATCTCGTTATCCTTCACAGGTGAAATGATTATAATAGAGTCTTAACTCAAAACTCGGAACAAATCAGATAATTATTTTAATATAAACCAGTAAGGAAAGTAGCAAAGTCGGACTGGGCCGACCATATAATACCCTTCACCACTATATGTATATTGTATATATGTATCCTAACAATTCCATGTCATGTCAAGCTATGCTAAATTTAATTTCATTCATATTTAAGGAAATCGATTTACTGTTAAATAGATAATCTCAATCAGACACCCGTTCGAAATATATATGGTACGTTGTGTAAAATTTCGTGTCAATCGGACAAACATTAGGAGTTTGGTGCACCATTTACTAAAATATATATGTGGGACCTATGTCTAAATCTGAACCGATATTCTCGAAATTTAACACACCTCATTCTAGACTCAGTTTAGTACGCTATGCCAAAAATGGTGGAAATCGAAAGATATATAGGGATTTAGGTTCAACATTTACATTAAATCGGACGAAAATATATACGTGAACCGATTTTCAGGTTCATCATCATTCATCATTCTAGACTTAACTTAGTACGCCATGCAAATTTCGTGAAATTGAAAGATATATAGGGGCTTTGGTACTCTATTTACATAAAATCGGACGAAAATATATATGGGAGCTATATCTAAATCTGAACCGATTTTCACGAAACTTAACATATGTAATTCTAGACTCAATTCAGTGCGCTATAAAAAATTTCGTGCAAATCTAAAGATATATAGGGAATGTGATGCACCATTTACATCAAATCGGACGAACATATATATGGGAGCTATATCTAAATCTGAATCGATTTTCACGAAACTTAGCACACATCATTCTGTACCTAATTCAGTACCCTATGCCAAATGTCGTGCAAATCGAAAGATATATGGGGACTTTGGTGCAACATTTACCTTAAATCGGACGAAAATACATATGGGAGTTATACCTAAATCTGAAGCGATTTTTACGAAACTTATCATATGTAATTCTAGACTCAATTCAGTGTGCTATACCAAATTTAGTGCAAATCTAAAGATATATAGGGAATTTGATGCACCATTTACATCAAATCGGACGAACATATATATGGGAGCTATATCTATATCTGACCCGATTTTCTCGAAACTTAACACACACCATTTTAGAGTTAATTCAGTACTCTATGCCAAATTTCGTGCAAATCGAGAGATATATGGAGACTTTGGTGCACCATTTACGTAAAATCGGACAAAACTATATATGGGAGCTATATCTAAATCCGAACCGATTTTGACGAAACTTAGCACACATAATTCTGGACCTAATTCAGAACTCTGTGCCAAGTTTCGTGCAAATCGAGAGATATATAGGGACTTTGGTGCCTACATCGGACGAAAATATATATAGGGGCTACATCTAAATCTGAACCGATTTTCACCAATTTCAATAGGATTCGTCCTTGGGCCAAGTTTCATCCAAATCGGATCATAAATGCGACCTGTACTTTGTTTACAATTTAACATCTACAGAGGGACGAACGGACGGACGTTTGCCTGTTACAAACATATGCACAAATACATAATACCCTGTACCACAGTGTGGTGAAGGGTATAAAAAGGGGATTATATGGGGACTACCCAAAAAGGGGGCGAATATGAATAATTTTTGGTAGGGAGATTTGTTACCTTATACGACTACAAAATACAAAACTGCAGCAAATTCGGTTGAAAAACGCGATCAAGAACCCCAAAATACCGAAAATTGGGGGTGCCCTTATATGGGAGCTATCCGAAAAAATTGACCTATAGTACCCAATAAGAACCCAATGTAGCAAATTTCAGCGAATTTGGTTGAAAAACGCGCTAAGAACCCCAAAATCCATGTACAAATTCGCGATGTTTGGGCATTAATTGCGGCCTCTGGAGCTACCAGAAAAACCGACAAAAATTAAGTATTTGGTACACTTCATACCCTAAATGTTAACCGATCTTTACCAAAAACAATAGGGGTCTTCACTGGGCCGAACCCATCCTATATGCAAAATTTCGTAAAGATTAGTCCATAACTGTGGCCTGCATCGTGTTTACAAATTATAATGGACAGACGGACGGACGGACGAACGGACACACATGTCTAGATCGATTCAGCTAGTCGAGATATGACGATCGTTATACTTAAAGGTGGGTCTAGGACCAATATTTCGCGGGGTTACAAACTTTTGTGGCTGCGCAAAGCTATAATACCCTGACAACATAGTTGTGTAGGGTATAAAAATCCACGCCTATAGCTATGATTGTTTTCAAAAAATATTTTTTTGAAAAATCCCCGCCTATGGCTATGATAGTTTTCAAAACATATTATATAAAATATCAGCGCCTATGGCAGTGATATGTATCAAAAAAAAAAAAAAAAATTTAAACCAGTGAGCGGAGCAGTATAGTCGGACGGGGCCGACCATACGATACCCTACACAACTACCACGAACTCTAACTTTCTGACGATGTTTATTCCGAGTCTGAGTAATATTTCGTGATATTTGCCCCCTCTTGTCCGATTAGAGGTTAACAACACCTCTTTCTGACTTGTTTCGAATATTCAGTACAGTCCTTCTAATTACTTGTCCAGATTACCTTCACGGTGGGTTGTGTTGTGATTTTCGGATTATACTCTACTCGAAAACACACAAAAAATTATGTTTTCCGTCCATTTCATACCAAAATTTTAATCTGATCATCACTGAAAATTGTAGGCGTTGTTCTTGACCATAACTGGAACTTTATGAAAAATTTCAAAGCCATCAGCGCGATATTTCTCCGTCTAATGTGGTAATGGGTTACTAAATAATATCTGAATACGTAAGCACCTGTAAATATTTGACTGTAACTCCCACATCTAAGTAGATACATCACTATATTTGGTATCAATTTAAAGGAAAACCACTCCTCTTGGATATGCTATCAACTCCTGGGGTCTACATCCTCCAGGAGTAAATATATATGCCATAGAATACAAATTTTGTCATTTTTCACACAAAAGTCAGGGTCCATTTGACCCGCTAAATATTGACCGATCTTTATCAAAAAATGCATGCTTATTCTCTGGCCCGATCCCCTTCTCCATGCAAAAATTCGCGGTGTTTGGGCCATAATTGCGGCCTCTGGAGCGACCAGAAAAACCGACAAAAATTTAGTATTTGGTCCATTTCATCCCCTAAATATTAACCGATCTTTTCCAAGAACAATAGGGGTCTTCATTGGCCAGAACCCATCCTACATGCAAAATTTCGTGAAGATTGGTCCATAACTGTGGCCTGTATCGTGTTTACAAATTATAATGGACAGACGGACGGACGGACGGACGGACACACATGTCTAGATCGACTCAGCTAGTCGAGATATGACGATCGGTATACTTAAAGGTGGGTCTAGGACCAATATTTCGCGGCGTTACAAACATTTGGGGCTGCACAAAGCTATAATACCCTGACAACATAGTTGTGTAGGGTATAAAAATCAGCGCCTATGGCTGTGATATTTTTCAAAATATATATATATATATATATTATTAAAAAAATCCACGCCTATGGATATGATAGATTCCAAAAAATACCATTTAAAAACCAGTAAGGAAAGTAGTAAA